TATACCGCGCCCTGGTGGCGCTCGGCACACTGCTCTCCGCTTCCAAGGCGGAGGCGGCCAATCTCGGTATCAAGGGGTGGATCCAGAGTGCTGTTGGACGAAGCTCTGAGGAGCGTGTCAAATCTGTTGCGGCCGAGTGCGCTAAGGTGGCTCCGTGAATGTGATATGATGGTGGCGGGTATGCAGGCCGTTGCAGCGCCAAGACGGGTTATTCTTGACGTGGATAGCGGGTGTACGTAATTGGAAGAGTAAAAGCATAGAACCAGCTGTAGACGAATGCGATACATGGATAGGCAATGGCTTTGTGGTGGGAGTGATGTCCGGCGTTGTGAGAGGCTTGTGTCAATTGATCTCAATCGTGAGGCCTCGTCTCATTTCATCTCACTTTAAAACTTCAACATCTCATTCTTGGTATCATTTATCACATGAATGGCACAGTTTGTGAACTTGAATAGTCGTAGATTCTCATTCTACGCGGTGTCTCAAATGAATGAAGCAGGTAAAGCTCCTCCAAACACCATATACCACGTGCGATATCTCAGTCCCCTCTGGACAACCCGCAACATTATAAAAATAAAATGAAGGGATATATAAAATAGTACCAAATCAATACCAGGGATATGCCAAAAGTTCCCCGCCCGTAAAAAAACGCCAGTCGTTATGCTTTGTACAAATTTTCTTTCGTTTCGGTTTCTCGTTCATCACGCGAACAGGAAATAGGCACCCGCTGCCACGAGCGGTAGCCAGCCTGCCATGTTCATCCGGCGCAGTGTTTGTGTCGCGCCGGATTCGCTTGCGTAGTCGTCGGAGCCGGAAGCTTTGGTGGTGATGGTGTAGACCTCTGCGAAGCCGATGTCGGTGGAGTTGAAGCAGTTTGTCTCGTTAACTTGGGCGATTCTCTTGTCTCCTGGTTCAGCGAAGATGATGTCGACGCACTGCCCGGGCATGTTAGTCAGTATTCCTTCAGCACAAACTTGGGAGGTGGACGTACAGAGTATAGAGCTGCACCGTGGATGGCGAGTTCTACGACTTGGATTGTAGCCGTGTCGCCTGCCTTGACGGTGGTGTTGACGGGCAGAGGCACCTGAGGGAGGCAGATGGTTCCTGGGAAGGGATTGTTGGTGGGACCGAGGATCTGGAACATGGGCACGACGGGGTGTGTCATGTTTGCTGGGCCGCCGTCCGGACCATCATCGCCAAAGCCCATGTTGACGTAGGCGAAGGCTGTCTGGTGGCCGCGGAACCAGCCGGGCTGGAAAGCGACAGCGCCGCCTCTTGTGGGCCAGTATGTTCTGTTTGTGGTGACATTTTGACCGCCGCCTGATGAGATTGTTAGTTGGTGTTGCTGAGTAGAGAAGAGGAGAGGAGAGAGGGACGTACATGGGTAGGTCCATTGCATGCCGTAGGGGAATGTTGCGTTGGTGATGAGGTTGTTTCCTCGCCAGCCGGGATAAGTAATCACGCTGTGTGCTGACACTGACACGATTGTCGCGAGGAGGACCGAGATGAATGCTGACGTCCTCATGATTGCGGTTTGTATGGTTATATCTCGTAGTATTGGGTGACACTCTAGCAAGCAGACAAAGAACACGAACAAGGCTCAGCCTCGAACATCAAATTCACGAACCAACGATTATGATATAGCAAGGGACTTGTTCGGAGAAAAAGGAAGAGGGAGAGGAGGCCGCGAGTTCTGGTCTTAACTTAAGGCAAGTGGCCATCTTTGCAGCCGCCCAGCTCCAAGCTCAGATGTGATGGCCCAGTCAGAGGCCGTTGGCGATGCATCTTGGAGGGTGTGACCCCTGCTGCAGAACGGGAACACACGCCCAATGGGATCAGCGGGATGAGTGATTTACAGGGCTACAGGGCGTTTCTGGGCTGTGACTGGAGATGTTTTAAGCGCTGGCGCTAGACTTGATTTAGGGACTGGCCAATGAAAGACGGAAATCATTTGGGGTAGAGGGGCGGGGGTTGGTGATGGGAGATGCCGGTTAATGAGGAGGAAGAAAGGGACGGTAGAGGTCGACTCACTTGATGGAAAGATCGGATCAGGAGAGCCGATACTCTCAGACTCAGGCTCTGGCCCTGGCTCTGGCTCTGGCTCTGAGTCTCAGTGAATAACGGTTTGAGGCTCGGGGCGAAAGGTGCCGCGTAGACGCCAAGATCCATGCCATGCCATGCCATGCCATGGTCACATCCTCACCAAGCACAGACGCAGACACTACCGTAAGCTGATGCTCTTATCACTAGAGCCCCTGATTGGCTCTTCTCTGTACTCTGTGCTATCGTTGCATTTTCGGCGAGAGACTGGTTCAACTTGTACTTGTTAGACCACGCACGGGTTCTTCAATCATGCATGTGCCTTGCGGGATGTCCTCAATCTGTGGCATGGCAAGCGACAGCAATGACGATAATAACAAATCTCTCACAGAACGGGTAGCAATCATGTCGGTCGGCGCTGGGCTATATAACTTGGGCAGAGACAGACCAAGTCGGAGTTTTATTCCCCATCGTTTTTAAGCACTGAAACTCAAAACGCCACTAAGATCTCTTAAAGCTCACCTTGTTTCTTCACCGAAGTTCACCGAGCCCTGTGGAGTCTCGAAATCTCAATCTTGACGACAATCTTCATTGAGAGACTCACTATAAGTGACAATCTCACTATTATTCTGCATCTTTTACACAAGCGCTTCAATTGATTCATCGTCTTACTTCATGTCTACTAATCTTTTTCTGCATATTGCCTTTGACCTTATTCACTTCACAATGTCTTCATCACAGGATTCTTCAGACTGGACAAGAGTCGTGCGCAAGGGCCGCAAGAACAGACGAACCAACACGGCATCTCACTCCTCTAGACACGTAAAGCCTCAGACAGAAGGTTTGAAATCGCCAGAGGATCTGGAGAAGGATTACAAGCAGCATCGTAAGCGATGGGAGGACGAAGCCTACTCCTGTCCCCGTCTCCGTGAACTCGTCAAGGCAAAGGCGTCGCATTTGACGGACATTAACAAGGCGGTTCATCTCGGCGTTGGGACGTTTGATCCCAATGACGGGCTTAATCTCGATGGTAAGAGATCTACGTTTGCGCAACTTGCGGCCTTTGAGGTCATGGTTGAAGAAATGGGTACGTCTACTACCTTGAGGACTTGTGAGTGAACGGTGCTGATTTGAGCAGAGAAAATCACGGGCGGCAAGATTGAGACCTTCTTCCAAGACCCAGCCTTCAGCGCCTCCGACAAAAAGTTTCTTGAGAATATCGGCCATACCGTTCTCGATGATCCAAAGGGCACCCAGATGGTTGACGAGAAGACGCTCTTCTTTGGCGTCCATCTCTACAGACCCGTCTACAACGATGCCCTGGAGGGTGAACTCCCCGCACTGTTTGTCGGCACCAGCTGGGAAGATTGGGGAGAGTAAGTCATGCCCTGGAAGTTGAAGTTGATGGGGCTGGTGCTAAGTGGGAAAACAGTATCTTTGCAGACGAGCACCTCGAGAACGTGGAGAGAATGCACAAGTCATATGAACGCTGCGACTTTCCCCAGGAGAGACTCGATTGTGCGTTTTCGACTACTAGTATCTACTGGAAGCCCAAGAGTGAGGAGGGGGGTGATGCTAAAGGAAAGGGCATTGTGATTGAGGAGGTTGAGGTTGAGATTGGGGATGGGGATGAGAAGAAGGAGAGTGATGGGGAGGAGGAGCTGGTGAAGAAGCTTGAGGCTACTACTATTAATTAAGTAATCAATTGTTGTTGGTAATTGTTAATTGACGAGTGTTTGTTCATGTCTGGCCATGGTCTGCGTCTTGGGCTTCGATTGCTGGTGACTGCGAAGACTACGCTGCACTCACTAATGAGCTTCTTCTCTTGTGCTCAATTCCGTTATACATACTCTAGTTGAGTCGTTCAATAACGCATTTTGATGTTGAATGCTTCCAGCCTCTTTGATCTCCTCTCGGCTTCATCTCACGATCTTCGCCCTCTTCTAACATTATCCAACCAACATCGAGTCAATCCCAACAGGCATCTTGGTTGCTGGCTTTCACTCTTCAATTCTACTGTCGCGACTATTTTTTTTCTTGACTCGTAGGTCTCTCTTCGCGATCCCAATTCTCTTCTTTATCTCCTCCGACTCGACGCTTCATCCTCTCTTCTGACTTCCACCATCATCATCATCAATCAAGTCAATCCCAACAGGCATCTTCGCAGCTGGCTTCACTCTTCAGTTCTACTGTCGCGATCATTTACTTTTGATCTTTCAACTTCTTCCTTGGCCTTTCTTTCTCTTCTTGATCTACTTCAAGTCAACCCGTCATTCTGAACTCACGACCTTCACCCTCTCTTCCGACATCTCTTCTTCTCACATCATCAGTCCGATCCTCATACCTTGGAGGTCTACAATTCTCCCGTCGCGGCCATTTCCCTTTGGCTTTTCGATTTATTCCTTGACCCATTCATTTCTCTCCTTCATCTTCTTCAACACAACCCTTCATCCTCACCTCGACCTTTCACCATCAACATCAATTGATCAACAACTCCATCTCGACCACTCACCACAAACATCAACATCAACACTACATCTACATCTACATCGTCGCGCGCCTTCACTTCAAAGATATTGACCTTTCTAGTAAGCCCCTTCAATTACTTTCTTTGTCAAGTTCATCTCAACTCATCACATCTCGTCAATCCACCACCAAAGGTCCTCTAACATCCTCATCATCTCTACTAACCTTTAGCCAATTTCTCATCTTTCCCTTCTTCTCCTCAAAACTTGCCTCTATTCCTCTAACCCGCCATAACATCTCCTAAACATTCCACTCTCTTTTACAAGTAATAGTCTAAAGGCGCATCGCGCAGTGATTCACAGCCTCTTCAATCTTCTTCCTCTCATGCATTCCGTCTCTTCTCATCAACCTTCATCCAACTTACAAAATTCAGTCATCTACATCAAACATCCTTCAAGGATTCTACAACTCTAGACCAACGACTCTCAATCACAATGGCGTCTCCCTACCATGAGTCAAAGGCTGACAAAGCCGCCCGCGAGGCGGAGTACCAAGCACTCTGGCAGGTCTGCGATCGCGCGACTCGCAAGCACGAGTACATCTGGGCCGACGAAAGACTCAAGCGCTCTTTTCTCGAAGATGCATGTGACGCTCTCATGCTCAAGAGGTAACCGCCTCTCCCCAACTGCTTGACTAAGGCTAACGGCCTGTAGACAGAAGCTCGGCAAGGCCCCCTGCGGAACTGACATCGACGCCATGGTGACCCTTCATCTTCAGCGCGAAGTTACTGGCCGTCTTCTCGCGACTGCTCGTATGACTGGTCCAGCCCCTGCTCCTAATCCGATGCCGTACATGAACAATGGCCCTGCGTTCAATGCGCCGCAGAATGTGTATCCTGCAAACCCGGGTCCCTTCAACGGAAACCAAGGTCCTTACAACGGCAATCCAGGACCCTTCAACGTCCACCCGATTCCTCAGCCTCAAGCTCGAGTCTCCCCACCGGACTTTGACTTCTCCATCCCGAACAGCGACGAAGACCTACGAGAAGACATGAATAAAGTCATCAACACCCTCCGGGAGTACGCCAAACGAATCGCCACTCTCGAACGCAGAGTCGACAAGCTCACTCGTGAGCGCGACATGTACAAGGCTGGGACGATTGACATGGTGAACGCAGACATGAGAAAGTCGGCTTCCGTCCCTCCAGGCATGTTCCACTACCCCGTTGAGGGGGTCGAGGGCTTGTCCGCCGTCGCCTATCCGCACCAGGGACCTCTCACGCCTAGAAGTCAGGCGCAGGGAATGGATGAGGAAGGGGATGGGACGTATCAGCCTGGAAATTGAGGCTTGTGATGGAGGATGGAGGACGGGGTCAAGTTTGCGCTGGGAGACGGAGACGAGGAGTTTTCATGAGGCTGGTTAATGCCATGGTTGCTAGGAATAAATACTTGGGCAAATTGCTTGGGGTGAGTGCTTGGGATGGGTACATCGAAGCACGTTATATACATCTTGCTTGGCCATTTACTTTGTAACGACTGACGACGACACGAATATGCAGCGCCTACGGGCAAGATACCCATCAATTAGGTACTTCAATGATCAATTCATTGCAACAAACATCAAAACTTCACATCACAGATCGACCTATTGAATCGCACATCAGTCAGGGCCAATCCTTGTATTGCCTGTCCTGCGTTCCTCCATCAACTATATACTCTCGCAATGCGAATCGTTACAATAAGCCAGCCAGCCTTCCATTTCCATCGTCTACAAAACAATCATGCCAGGCGTATCCGAAACAAAAAAAAACACATATGAAGGGCATAACATTTTACCTGTTTTCCCTAATAACTCCGTAACTCCGGTCCGTGTTAAGACATTAAATGCTGATTGTTGAGGTGATGATGGTTACATATCCAATGCATGCCCTCGCATCCCCAGAGCTGACATCAGCTTAGACATCAATCGCCGCTGAGCAATATCGTGAATGCATCGAGTCGTTTATGAGGAAAACATGCTGTAGTCCTGGATCGTCTTGCCGTCGCAGTCGGGAATCTTGACTCCCTTCTTGAGCTCGCGGTCCGACGTCAACAGACCCCATTTGTCTTCCCACTCCTTGCCCTTGGTGTTGTACCTCTCCTTCCAAGGCTCGTCAAATGCCTCAAACCAAAAGTAGTTGGTACCGTTCTTGAGAGATTGGCAAACCCAATCGTCCATGAAGGTGTTGAGCTCGTCAATGCCAGCAACTGATCCCTCGGTACATGTTGTGGCCGAGCCACAGTCGGTGCCGCCTCCGGTAGGCCAGCCTGTCTCCGAAATGATGTTCTTCTTCGTGTCCGACTTCCAGAATTGTTTGTTGTTAGTGTCCCAGAAGTTATAGGTCCAAGCGGCAGCCTCGGATGCCGTCACTCCGGCAAAGAAGGGATGGATGTTGGCCATGATATAGTCACTGTCCGTCGCGAGCTCAGATGTCCAGTCGTCGCCCAAATCGGAGGTAGCAACAGGGAGCTTGAGGCCCTTCTTGTCGAGCTTGGTGCGGGTATCGTCCAAGATATCGGCCAATGCGGTGATGTTCATCTCCTTACGGAAGAGGATTTCATTGGCAATGATGATACCCTCAAAAGGATCATCACCATACTCATCAAGAATGTCCCACATTTGTGCCATCTGTCGATCGTTGGTTGTCTCGTTCTTGTCAAGCCAAACACCCATCCAGATCTTGGTATCCTTGAGTTCCAATCGGTCGAGAGCATGAATCAACATCTGCGTCTGGTTGCAATCGGTTCCGTACAATCGAATCTTGTTGGTAAGCTGACCCAGAATGGCCACGTCGCGAGTGATGTTGTTCTGAGAAGGTGGATTATGCATACAGTCGGGGTACTGCGAGTTGAGAGGGGTGTAGTCCATGCCGGGAAAGACTCTGTGGAGGTCAGGATTGTTAAGAAGCTTCTTGATCTCTGCGCTGTTTTTGCCAAGATCGCCGTTCTTCGCGGTGTCGTCCTTAGCTGACTCTCCCGAACTCGCTTCACTGTCTTCGTGCTTGCCATTGTTCACCATACTGCCAACGACACCACCAACAATAGCGCCAACGATAACGAGGAACACCACGACGATGATGAGCCACTTGCACCTCTTACTCCTCCCAGTGTCCTTATCGTCCGAGCCATAACCGTAAGGCTTCTCCCGTGCCCCATTCATCTCATAGCTTCCGCCTGTACCTAATTAGCGAATGCGCACAGTTGGCAGACGAATACTAACCTCGTCCACCCAAAAGGCCGCCAGCAGCCGCACCACCTCCAACCGCAGCAGCGGTCGCAGAAGCACCCCTCTTCGCGCGGTCGGAGTTGGAAAGGCTAAGCATTGAGTTCCTTTGGCTCTTCCCATACACAAGTCCGTCGTCTCCATCGTCAATAATATCATTCGGATTCACTACACCAAGATTGTCGCTGCCGTGCCGCGAATTTGTGTATCCGGGATATGGATTATCGATGTAGGGATCGCTACCGTTGAAGTGAGATGTCGCAGCCGAAGGTGGCCCCCGAGGAGAATCGTAGCCGTGGCCGTAACCTCCATTTCCGCCGTAAGGGTTTTGCTGAGTCCGCGATGGAGGCGGGGGCAAGTTGGAGTATTCCATTGCGCCTATTCCGCTATAGCGAGGATTACGGTCAGCAACGTTAACAGCAATTCCTGTCATACCACCAGATGCCGACATTCCAAAATTGTCTGCGCCCGGTGTTGTATGAGAGGTTGGGTGATCATACCCCATATGTCCGCCGCCGCCACCTCCGTAGTTGTTGTAGCCTTGGTTGCCGTAATAACCGTGGTCGTTTTGTTGAGGCGATGGTCGTCGAGGACTGTCGTATCCAGCGGATCCAGCGTACGGCGAAGGCGATACTGGGCGACCGTGAGAGGAGTCGTCGTCGTAGCCACCTTGTACACGGCTGTATGAAGAATCGGGATGTGCGCTTGGGTGGTTTGATCTCGGGGGAGCGTCGTAGTGGGCAGCCGAAGGTGAATAACTATGGGGAGGAGGGACGGGTCTTCTGGGAGAGGAATCGTAGCGATTATGAGAGTCGAGCGGCTCGCTCTCGTAAGGATCCCCGTGGTAGTTCTGCATTGTGTGGGTATTGGTTGGATATTAAATCTGGATCCAGGCGGAGGAGCATGCAGGCAGGTTCAAGCAATGTGACAGTGATAAAGATAGCGATAAGGTGGCTGCAACAACTCGAGAGCAGGCACTGCCAAGAGGATCGATGATGCCAGCAGCGGGCGCGCCGCCTCAAGGGGATCGCCTTGGAAGAAGGTGGATCAATCGGCGAGATATAATTTGCAGTTGAAACGAGAGAGTTGGAGAAGCGCAAGGAACAGTGAGCGAGTGGAATAAAGAGACCGACCGACCCGAGCGAGTCTTTCTTTCTGCCTTGTTATTGCGAGAGATGGAGCTGGAGAGAGGGAAAAAAGATGGAGTGACGAGGACAAGAGTAGAAAGAGCTCAGCCAAGCCAAGAGAGAGCCAAAAGTCAATGAATCGCTGTTACAACTGTAACGGCCCAGTTGGAAGGAGCGAATGAGGGGGGCAGGTAGCCACTAGCCACACCGGATGCGGACCGATAACCTGGAATTTCCCATTTTAGCGGGTGTTCCGCCCTGGCCTCCCCGGCAACCGGCCCCTAGTAATCCGGCCAAGGCGGGACCCGTGACGCAGATATTCTGGAACCAGGGCCAAGAGAGAGAGAGTATTACCACGTCGATAATACGAGAGAGATATTGTATTGTAAATTAACAAAAATGTCATTAATATTGTTCATTCCGCATGAGACTCAATAGTAATTGCAAATATCTACTACTACAATCATCAGTTCGTGCACAGCCTCCTTCAAAACGGGTGCAACGGCAGACACGAGGTTGGAAAATCCTCTAGTGGTGTGTGAGATCATCAACACGGGGTTGAACTTGTCTTGACTTGGTCAAGCCAACTCCATCTTCCCATAATGGATGGATGCGTGCGTTGCGCGTCCTCAGAACCTTGATCTATATTCGGAAACTGTCTCAGTCCAGGGCGAACTTCTTTGTTCTAGTTAGTTTAATCGCCGTATTTCCCGAAACTCACTTAAGATACTTCGTATTATACAGGAATGACCACGTAAACCCCAAATCGATCAACCAATTCTTAATTTGCTAAACAAAGGCCTCATCGTGAAACTCAAACAAGCGACGAGGGTCAGTCCTGTACGAGCATGGCACAGTTGGGTCTCGATTATATGCCCCTGTAAAATACCACTCTAGCCTGTCGATTGACGATCAACATGGAACCTCGAGGGTTACAGAGAAGGGAGAGACGATGAGAATCACTGAGGATTCAGCTGTGACTATCCAGTGATCAACCAAAACAAACAGAAACAGGAACAGAAAATGTCTGAAAGTCATGAGGCTGGAGATGAATGCAGCCAAGATGACAGCCGCAATTGATTGATGCGAGACGGGTCGCAACATGTGGCGTCGCCATGATATTAATTTATCGCCCTCATTATCACCAGCGGCACAGCTACCACCAACACGCCATCATATTAACCAGCTTCTCAGTGCTATCTTTGTAAACCTAATCACAGAAATTAACGGAAACCTCTTGTCTTTTCGATATTGTTTATGTACCACGATTAGCAGATTAAAGGATCCTCTGTGACCCAGTCTTCTTCCCAGTTTTACTTGTCTCCCTGTCTCCCTGGTGCGACACTGTTTGTTTATCGGCGATCCTCTCTCTCGCCTGAGAGGTTTTTTATGCGACACTGTTGGTCGATCAAAAAGCTCTGTGCTTCAGCCGATAAGAATTCACTAACTGCTCATCGACGATTTGTACGACAAAAACCCCACAAGATTTGGCCAAGACCAATTTCTGGCTCCCTGTTAGCAGAAAGACGCCTAACAATTAAATGGTCTCAGCGCCGGACCTGTCAGCAAATTGCAGCTGTCAGTCGCTTTAAGGCTGAATTGGTGGTATGCTCGTGACTCAAAATGGTCGCTGGTGGCTGAAAATGGAATTAGCCATGGACCCTTGGGCTTGAGGCTTAAAAAAAGGAAATGATATTTGAGGAATGGTAAGATCGAGACCCCTATTTCTGAGACCGAGGTTCGTGGGAAAAAAGCCATCTCCGGTTGGGGACGGAATCCCTTGAATTAGATGCTGACGAGTCTTAATCGCAGTTCAGCTGTATGAGAGGCTGCCGTGGAACGTTACACGATTAATATGTACATCATCATCAAGGCGCAAGCCAGAGGTGCACAAACTGCCAAAATGTCTTGCATTGACGTCAAAGTACTCAATATTGCAACACTTGACAGCTGGGGGGCTTGAAATGGCTGACAGGCTTTGCTTTGGGCGTTCTGAGAGTTCTTGTTATGGCGCTGGTGAAAGATGCAGGGTAAGTGACTTCACCCGAACAACATCTCATCATGATGTTCAGTGCAAGTGGGCGAACAATGCGAGCCGATGAGATAACGATGATGGACTGCCGACTGGTTGCTGTGCGAAATGTGTTTTGTTGACTTCGTTCACGAGGCTCTTCATTGCCATGCCCGATCAGTGGCTGAGCTCTGGAAGCTGTGAGTGAAGTCGTACCATTACTGTGACATTCACAACCAAGAACCACGTCCCCGTCCATTGTCGGAGTCACCACAATCGTTCTCAAGCCTCCTGCACGAATAACACGATTGTCTGTCCTTGCATGGGGTGGAAATGGTTGCTCATTGTTGTACTGCACTCTCGTAGACGCCGCATGGCCATCCTCATCTCCAAGACGTGGCCCTAACAGCTTGTGAACTTTGTGCTCAGACCGCATAAGACCCTTCAACATGCCACGACTTCTGATAGAAAGAAGCGGCTCGAATAAAGTCTAGTAGGGCCTGAACGACTTATAATTCAACGAATCGCATCCTCTCAGGGTCTGTCCGAGCCTGAGGGCTGGGACATCTTACAAGACCGTTGCAACATACTTGACTTCATGGAGCGCATATGTGCTACGTGATCTCACGAAATGAGAAACACTCGACACTGACATCTCACGCATAATCCGGTAGTTCTAGCTTCATGGTTGTCGCTGTAAGAAGCTTGTTCTAATTTGCTAACGTTAGCTGTCAACGACATCAATTTAAGCATCACCAACCTACAAACCACCAATCACAATAGCCTCTCTCGATCGTCACTGAGATCTAAATCATGCACCGACACAAGGGACAAGGATACACAACACGCGACCTTGCTATATTGTCTATCCGCCCAATATCTTGAAGAAACCCGCTCATGTGACCGGCTCTCTAATCAACACCAGCTAGCCTTGAAGCAAAATCTTCACTTCTTCATCTCAAACCCGGCATCACACAGTAAAACAAATAAGCATACACGGAAAACTCACCCGTTTTCCTACAAGCCAAGGACAAATGACGTTGTATACAAGGGCCCTCCTCCACAACACCAGCCAACGAGCTCTCACGCGGAGCAAACCTCCGACGTCCGCTCCACATATCCCATCCACTGAATATCTTTATCGATCGATTTCGCCTCAAATAGAGTCGGTATACAGTGATTACTTCAATATACACGACATAGATTGTATTAATGATGTTAAGATCTTGTGCGGCGCGCAAAGAGTGATGTCATGGCGACGATGAAGATGTTGACATCATAAATGTGTAGATGTAGCATCACGATGTTATATGTAGCCCTACAGCGTGTAAGACAAGACTTTTATCCTCTTCATTCTCACAATTCTTCAGTGATCATACACAAATACCCAACAGAAAGCTCAATTGAACGCTTATCTTCAAACACTTCACACAAATAACACAATCCTCATGTCTATGAACCCCGAGTCTGCTACTCCCCAACAGGGTGAGTTCCGAAGCAAGGTCGCTCCCGCTGAGCCCCTCACAACCAAGGGCGTAAGTCAATCGTCATAGAAGCACTCTCCATTATACACCATACTCACATCTGCCAGCACAAGCCCGGAGTTCTCGTTGGCAACGACGCCGTTCCCGAGTTCCACGCCGAGCAACATCCCGCCGGCACAGCTCCCCCCGAGAACACCTTCCAGCCCAACGCTGAGACCGAAGTGCCCGCCCAGGCCCCCGATGCCTCAGGCGGCGTGTCTGCCTCTGCAACTCTCGGAGGTGCTACGTCTGCTGATGTGCACACCGGTCTAGGCAAGCCTGCCGCTGGGCAGACGAGCCAGGAGCTTCACGGTCGGGAGAAGAAGGATCGCTCTGGTCTTACGGGTGTTGGCGCGAATCCCTCTGATCCTATTCATGATATGGGTGCGGACCGGGATCATCCTACGAACTATCGTGGAAAGGGTGGTGAGAATGCGGTGGATTATCCTGGTGCGGAGGATAGAGAGCCTGTTAAGGCTGAGCAGGTTGCGAGTGAGCGCGCTTAGGTGTCTGCTGTGCGGACGGGATGGAGCGCTGTGTATTATTAGCCATGGTGGCTTAATGAGTCAATGTCAATGATATGAACCAACGGATCGTGTCAAATGTTCCATGTGCGATGAGGTGTGAGGCTAATGGCCAGGAGGGTTATAACATCGGTTGAGGTTCACTTCGCTCGGCGCGCCCAGGGGGAATGTGAGGTCTGGGATTGGCAGGATGATAACGCCCGGCGTTCATAGCTGCATCCGAATGCCGGTACTCTGTAGATCTGCAGGACTTGTTCGTCTTTAGCTCCGGCTGTAATCGGGCATGTCAGCAACACGGGTCCAACATCAACAACCGTCAATGGATCCTGGGCTGTAGTGTCGCACACGGCGAAAGGTGATACAAAAACGACCAGACCGAAGACTCAATGAGCAACCAGCAAGGTAAAGCAGTGCACACTACACTTGGGCATCAATGTATGTGCGCCATTTGCTTCAAGATAGTGGCAATGGTTCACTACAATGCAATGCAACCCATCGAGGCATAATCATCCAGCTTTGACCCCTCAGCCCTATGCAACACAACAGTCTGCATCCTCAAGAATGCCTCGCGATGCGCCTTTTAATTATACAGGATCAAGCGTTGAAACATGGATGTCGCCATGATCGTCGTAATCCCTCGATTTGGGATGAACTCAATCTTCCTCCTGGTACCGGCAGTGCGACTTTGAACTTTGACATCCCTGCTGAAGCGCCTCCAACGGTCCCCGGATCTCCCCACCCGCCGCGAGGGGAACTTGGACAGGAGTCGATTGGTAGGCTACGGAGTACCTATTCATGGATTATGGGACAAAGTGCGGCCGCTGTGAATTGTAGTGGATGCTTGAAAGGTGAGGGAAAGGCCAGTGGAAGCTCTCTATCTCTAATGAATGGCTAATCACTGACGATTGAGCGTGGGGGCTTCATGTCTAACTAAGCATCATCGTGAGACATCTGAAACGGCTCTCGCTATGCTGAATATGACAGTTTGAGTGCCCAATGTAGCAATCTCTGGCTCTCCCAACACTTGTTTGGGCATTATTTCTCCTCATTTGTCTTCGGAAGCAACGGCAGTTATTCTTCAAGTCTGGGCCGAGACCCCGTTTCCATGCTCTAGCGGATCTCAGGGATATCCACTACCACGCGCCATATAATGCTAATAAATCTTGTTCTTATTCTTGTTCTTAATTCATGACGCATCGTTATTAGAAGGATTCATTTATTTAAAACATAAACCATTATAGCAAGGCTGATTACTCTTCACAAGTACCGAATAACATGCCGTAATGTAATTTCTAATAATCTCAAATCAACCTCTGAATGCCGAGACAAGAGATATCAACATCAGAATGCACATCATAAGTTTTTATCATTAACCACAATAACCGCCGTGTTCACACCAATCATCGCAGAATCTTCCAATCAAGGAACTCTATCCCCGCCGTGATCAGACCCGGGCCCCCCTCCACAAGCCGGCAGCTAAACCAAACCCATCCTGATCCATAACGTCTCGCCTCGTCCGTCCAGGCTCCAGCGATCAACGGAACCGCCGTTACATCTAATTGAGCTTCTAGATCCCGTTAGACACGTCAAAAATCGCTAAGTTTCGCTATCAGTGCCCAAAAGACTCAGCTCAACTATCAAGATCATCTCCTCAAAAAGTCAATTCAACCTCTGGTGGATGTGACTAACAAAGATAAACCTTGCTTCGTCTTGCTTGGCTCTCTCCACATTCGCCTTCTCCCTTTCCCCCCTGGTTCTTCTTTTAATGAACTTGTTGCTTCTCTTCTTCGAACGTGGGAATAATATTTCTTCTTGGGGTTCGTCGTTGATATCATCCCACTCAATTTCGGGGTCTCACCTCATGACAAACGCCGCTGACGTTGAAAGATTCCACCGATAGGTTCTGCGCTTTGGCTTAGCCAGGTACGGCACAGCACAGGCACAGCAGAGTATTGGGTCGGTACATCAAGGCCCGCCCCCTGTAAGCTCCAAAATCGAGTACCGAGCTGGTCCCCCCCGTTCTACTTTACCAGAACGGCTTCTCGTCTCTGCGCGAGCGGGCTTCTCCTCACACAAACGATATTCCTTTTCGAGCCTTGAACCAACAAGTCGTGTCTATTCTGTCTTGGGCTTTTTTTGTTTTGTTTGTTGGTGGAACCCCTGGTACCTGTAAATCATGGAGATCCAGTTCTCGATCCCTATCACCGGAGGGCGATCCAACAGCTCGGCGCCGTAAGCCAGAAACCCTGTCGCACACAATATGGATGGATCCGAGCTGAACTGACTCCCGTCCTGTCCTTTAGTTCTTCATCAGGTACAGACACTGAGAGATCTGCAAACGCGATGTCTTCAAAGGCCGGTACGCATCGATTTGCACTCGAGACAAGGGCACGACATACAAGACGAAGCTCAAGTAGAGCTCGCACGGGCTGTGCTACATGTGAGTTCGGCACATGTCTTTCGTGAGTCTGTTACTAATGCTTCTTAGGCAAGTAAGTGTCATGCAATGCAGTTGGTCGCATGAACTCAATTCCTTGGAGCACGTATGGCGTAAGAAAGGCACTAACATCGTGAAGAAAGCGACATGTCAAATGTGACGAGACAAAACCAGCCTGTCTCAATTGTTTAAAATGGCGAGGTTCATGCGATGGCTATGGCGATGCAGCAGCTACACCCGCTGAAGGCGCCACCGAGCCTCGGCCGCGCTCAACAGCCTCAAGATCAAAAGCAACGGCGAACTCTGCGACTAACAAATCCCGTGCAACGTCCAAGATTAAGGTTACTACGGGTTCGACGGCTGTTGTGAAAGCAAGACCACCAACAATCCCCGAAGAACCTGCAATCAACACCATTTGCTTCACAAGTAGCGAGCAGCGATCTTACTTTGATGAATGGTCCGCTCTTAGTGTCGGGTTCCTTAGTGGGGGACTCGGAGACTCACGATTATGGACGACTACGATGCCGCAGCTCACATTGCAGGAACCCTCACTGAGGTATGCCGCTATGGCAGTAGGTGCACTACGTAAAGCTTCAAATGTCGAGTTTGAAGCTTCTTCACCAGGTAATGAACTTGCAGGCGACAACAAGCACTACCTCAACGCAATTGTCTACTATTGCGAGGCTTTACAATTACAAGCCAAGGCCAGACCGACAAAAGAGGGATTACGTACAGCGATGTTGGCATCTCTGCTGTTCATCTGCTTTGAAGCGCAACGAGGAAACATGCCAGCAGCTCTCAAGCACATCACTCACGGCTTCAGTATGCTGAACGAGCTTGCAGCTTGTACCGACAAAGCTCCCGGTCTTGTCAGAATTGCCCCAGCACCTCCAGCGCTCGTGCAAGAGATCCTCGATTGTTATAAGCCCTTGGAACTCCAGTCGCGATCATTCATGGGGTCGTATAAGAAGTTCTTCTTCCCCCCGAAACCACCCGCAGTCGCCGCAAAGCAGGCTCCTCCCTCACAAGCGGCCAGTCCTCGCTCTATATCAAGTCCACCAAGTCAACCTGGCACGCCATGGGCGAACGCACCTTCAGGTCAACAGAACCCAGTTGGTCTTCCAAGTCCACAGAGTCAAGCGAGTCCACAAGCCATGTCAGACCAGCAGACACCTCCTCGAGCGCCTCCGCAAAGACCACCGGGGATCGCTCCATTCACGAAGCACTCACCATACTTCAGGCCAAAGCAGACTAACATCAGGGTGATTGAGGATATGCCGGCTGTTTTCAGCTCGTTGGATGAAGCCCATGGATACTGGACGTTACTGCAGAGGCAGCTTGTGCAGTACATTCCTCTTCTGACAGCCACAACAGCACAGCTCGCTTTGACGAAAGTGAGAGACATGAAGGAGCTGAAGATAAAGCTAGATAGCGTGCAGCAAAACCCCAGGATCTCAAAATTTCTGGAAGAATCCAGGCATTGGCTTCAACGATGGTCAACATCATTCAGTCCACTTCTTCGAAGAGCACAGGACAATCGCCAGAACGACGAACAGTCGTATCTGCAAGCGATCAACTTTCACATCGAGTTTCTCATCCTTTACATTTACACCGCCATGCCACGATACTCTAGCGTCGAAACAGCAAAGGACCTCACGCCACAATACCGGGAGCTGAACGCCATTGCCGAGATTTTAATCGCATCGCGTCCCAACTGCGGTTTCGCAATGGACTCAGGTTGGACATGGCCCCTCTTCGTCTCAGCATTTGGCTGCCGCGATCCAGAGGTCAAACAAGATGCCATTCGCATTCTAGGAAAATACCCCATCCGCAACGCCCTCCGCGACAGTCGCGTCTTCCGTGCCATCGCTCTGAAGAACCTTGAGGTCGAAGCTATGAACGCAATGGAGGGCGATGAAGATGAGCAGTGGTTACGTCTGAGGAGGAGAGAGCTCGTCTTTGAGGATCTGGGAATGAACATTATCTTTCGATATGCGGAGAAGAATCAGGCCACGGGGGAGTGGGAGCTCATTGAGGAAGTGGCGGTGTTTATGGTTGGGGAGGATGGGCAGTTGGATTGGCATAGACAGCCTATCTCGGAGTCGGTGTCGATTCTTTCGGGTGTTTGTTAAAGGGGGTTTGATGGGGATAGAGGAGGATTTGGGTAAATAGCAAGCGTAGGAGTTTTGGCGTGCGTGCTTTTAGGCTACGACGATGGCCAACATGAATCTTACGACCCGTCTTTTAAGAGATGCTGGTAATTTGACATTATCTAGACGTGTTGAGGCGGTATCTGCTGTGAACATCAAGAGATGAATGACGATACTGTTCGGACAAGCTCAATTGTGCGTTCTACGGGGAATTAAACCGGCACAACAATCTTCCTAAACTGCATCTTATATCCCAATGCTTATAAGTGCAAAATATGATTGTTGCTATTTTATTTGACCAATGTTTGTTGTTTTGTAGTGTTATCAGTTGGTCGACTCATCCATTTTTCACGTGAAATCAGCAATTGACCAACAAACAGACAGTAAACCTACAGTATACAGCATCGATATAAACTATAAGTAAACCAGCATCCAATAAATACTAGTATCTTATACTTACAGTACTTGAGGTCCTATCTACGATTATCTGCCGTTATTCTTACTATCATTCATCCCCTTTCAACTGTCAAGTTTAGGGTATCTACCTCGGCGCAGATGCCGAGGTCGTCGGCCTCAGGCACGCGCCACCTCCACATTCTGAGTGAGGCACCTGGACGGGAAGTGACGTGCCTGTGCCTCGGGGTTCGGCGGGCTAAAGCGAATCCCCAATCCAATCCAAGCCCAACGCAGCCGAGCTGAGCTGGCAGCACCTCTCCCACTCATTCCATCATCACCGACTACCTTATCACCATCATCGTTTCTATCAATACCGCCGATAGCGCGTCATGGCTGGCGACTGATTCCAATCCCGCCAACGACCGACTTCACGCGCGCTCCGCTCCTTTAATATCGCTGTTTCCCCCTTGTCCGATCATCGCCGACCAACTGGAGAGAGACGGAGAATATGGACCCTTCTATGAAGCGCGACGTGCCTGCTCCGGCTGCGAATTCTACAAATTTACCATCTGCTACGACGAATAAACAACAGAAGAAACCTTCGCTCGGTCGCATTCTGTCATTACCGCCCAAATGGCTGTCTACGTACGAGGAGTTCATAACCAAGAATGCCGGTCAGGTGTCGCAGATTGAGAGCGCTCTACGGAGCTTGACATATATAATTCCAGGTAAGCTTCTCTGAGACGGGTGCTCAAGTATGGAGCTGTTCCTGACGAAAGTACAGGCCGCTTCCGCGATGCCGAAATCGCATCAGAGTCAATCCACTCGGGTGTTCAACTTCTATCTCTCTACCATGACTCTCTCCTCCAAAAGGCCATCGCGCGTCTGCCGATGGCGAGCATGCCATCAGCACATGCTCGATATACACGATACTGGACTCAACGGAGTGGTGCATACCGAAGAATAGCTATGTTTTTACAAATGATCATCTACACAGAGATGCTATGGGAGATGACAGCCAAACGACGAGGTGGCGAGAAGTCGCGGTGGAAGGTAGTCGTGATACTGGAAGCACTTAAAGCCTTCTGTCGTCTTCTGCTGCTGCGCATTACACGGTCGCGTCCACTCGTCACGCCCGTGCTGCCTGAACGCGAGCCCATCCCTGAAGATGCGGCCGCGGATGAAGAGGAAGAGATTGCGTACCGAAGTGAAAGTGAACTCATGGACGACGTTTCGGTGAACGGCTCTGCGTCAGGATCTTCGCGGGACATGAAACCCGCGCACGAGCGTGAATGGACCATGCCCCGAACAGGAATGAGCTTACCATCATTACCAGAGGGAGGAGACATCAGCTCGTATCTGCTGGGACGCGTGCTTACAGCTGACGACATCAAACCCGCGACCAAGCTCCTCAATCAACTTCAGGGAAGTGGTCAGGGCGCTGAGATACTGCAGATCTTGTCACCGCTTATCTACGCTTCAGCCATGGCCTACAATATCAGGAGAGGTGGCGACAAGAAGAACTGGACCCCTTGGTTGATCGGCTTTGCAGTCGAGTATGCTGCCCGGCAACTACGAGACCGAGGGTTACGAACCACATCTCTAGAGCGGGAAGAATGGAGCAAGCGTGGTTGGGCCATGGGTTGGTGGGCGATGAGGGGCGCCGCATACGAGAACATCACCAAGGGAGTCGTCGGAGGTGTAACGAAGAGAATGCCCTCCTTCATTGGTGGTATCCTTGAGGACTATGAGTACCTCTGGGAGAATTACTACTTTAGCACGAGTGCATAAAGTGTACTACTCACTCAGTGCACTGAACTTGGTTTGGAAAGCGGACCATGTCGTCTCAAGTACATTGAAGACTATACATACTTTGCCGAGACATGTCGGCTGACGATCTCGGCTACTGGACGTTTTGGAAACTTTTTCTTCCAAGTAAACATTACGGGGCATAGCATACACGATCGGCAGATGGGCAAAGGACGGCTAGCCATGCGAGCATTGACTTTGACTTTGATGAATACCCGATATGGAATACAACCCTCGCGCCGGTGTTGCACGATTGCTCTTCAGCTCTGCTTGTCCGCCTGTGCGGTCTGGTCTTTCCCCAAAGCCCCAAGCCCAAGCCCAAGCCCAAGCCCAAGCCTAAGATCGAAAGTTGGAGCCCTCCTCTCCGATCCCATTCGGAGCGATCAGGCATAGTGTTTCTCTGATCGTCCCTGATGGGGGGTTTTGGGCTGCCAACTCTGGATGGTGCGGGTGTCTAGACGTCTTAGTCTAGATGGGCGATCGCAAGGGTTTGCACGGACGAGAGCACAAACCTGACGATCAGTTACACCTTGATCATTGTACGAGTTATTTTTTGTCTCTATCTCTTCTTTCTATAGTTTAATAAGGAAACGAAATGTAATCATCCAAGAAAAGTAACGGCGAACTAGAATCGGGACTAGAAAATCGGTGACGTTTTAGTGGAAAGGGGGTGGAGCGGGGTGTAGGTCAAGTGAAGGCGAGCCAAGCGAATGGAACTCAACTCAACTCAACTCGAGCCAGCTTGACTCCAGTGCGCGTGGCAGTGCTCGGCCGAGAACATGAAGCCCCTGTAAATGGAACGGTACCTTACAGCGTAGGATGATATCCGTAAGAAGGAGGGAGAAAAGACCCCGATTCCGTTCGGCTCTCTGCAGCTTCGCACGACAAAAGAGAAAGACGGAGGTGCCGGGGTGTGGAGGAGGAGGTGGCGCACTCGGAGCCGGTGCGTTTGGAGGCTGGTTTCATGTTGATTTGGAGGAGCGTGCAGTGGGCTGTTGTGTTCAACAGTCTCTCTCTTCTGCTGTTGAGAATCTTTCAGCTGAAAAGAGAGACAACAACATCTTCTCGAAAGAGACGGTGAACGAATTGCCGGAAATGTTATCTCGCAAAAAAAACGTGGTGCTACTCGGTCCCTTGCATGCAATACATATTTGCCCTTTTATATATACCCAACGGGCAGGGTATAGACGGTATATCGCTCCTTTGGTATAGAAACGTTCTGTTCCCGAGCAAGGTTCGTCGAGGTACCATGCTTAAAAAAAACAAAACCCTTCATCCCCTATTTCTTACCCTGCCTCTGTCTCTTTTATCCCCGGGCTATCTCAGCTGGGTAATTGTGTGCTGTGCTGCGCTGTCGTGGTGCGTAGGTACCCGAGCCAAGGATGGTGAAACGTTTGACGTTGTGATTTTCTCTGTGAAGAGGGGGCTGAACGGGAAATGCGGGAGGACTAAAAGGCAACGATACAATTAAAAATAAACGCAGACAGCCGCACATGTACGTACAAAGTACACAGAGCTAATTATGTTTTGGCCGACGTGGGACAGTGATACATAGTGTTCATGGTTAAACATAGCAACACGAACCCAACTTCAAGGGACGGGCTAGAAAAGGGTCTTCAGCGACATGCTTGTTGCATATGATCTGCTTTTAATGCTGGAATACGAAATGGGATCCGCAAATGAATCATGTTGTGGATATGGATGTGCCTAAGGAGATTTTAGCCGTCATTGAAGAACACATGGAAGCTAGACAAACACACTGGTGGCTGCATAAGTGTCTCTGATAGAGCGGAACTCGACGAGAATCTTCAGTCAATTCTCGTGACTTTGTGCCCTTTGATGAAATTAAAAGCACAGACCACGAGTCTCGGCGACCATGCCCAGAACATGATAGCGTCGTGGATCGGTTCATGTGATGATGATGATATGTAACCTCTGGTCCCTGACTAGAACAGATACGGATAAACTTTCAAGGACCAGTAACGATGCGACCATGAAAAAATATAACTCTACCTTAGTTATACGCGGGTCAGCAATATCGTGAACTGTGGGTAATGAGATGTTTGCTAGGTAGTCTAATCGGCACCAACAGAGCGTTGTCAGGCGGGATGCAACTCTAACATCGTCATCATCAAGGTTCTCGACCTCTGGGTCGGTCGGTCAGTCAGAATGGCCATGCTCAACGGCGAAAGGGGGCGGGACATGGGGAGTCGTGATACGCGAAATGATGCACGTAAGAGCAAAGGAGCGAGCTTGCGAGCTTCTCGAACTTGAACAGTGCGTGCGTGACCCAAACTTTACTGCTAGTTAGCTTCTGGCTAATCTCCCAGAGCCAAGACAAGTTTTTGATGATTGACACCAGCGGAGCATTTCCTCGTGCTGCAGATAGATACATGCTGATGCAGATGCAGACGCACACAACCGAGCTGAGGCTGTTGAGTTCGTTCGTTCGGGCTCGTTTGAGTCGTCCTGACAAGAGTCATGCAATTTCCACACGTGCCGCGCCAGTAAAAGCTTACCCCTGTGCTGGGACGCATTAAAGACCCTAGTCAGTCATCATGTTGCGTTCCATGCTTAATGCCCGGGGAACTTCAATTACAGTGCTGAGAGGCACCAGCCAATTCGCCTCGCTCGAAAAAAGGGTGCACACAGACGAAAACACAAACTGAATGAGGGTCCTGCGTTTGCCTGTCGTTCGTTGCGGGTGGAGAGGCCAAGACGGGAGGAGATAGGTAAGCGATGACGATGATGACAGCGGCGATCCAGGGGTTGAGAGA